TCCCTTTTGTTGCAGTGCTTTCCACTTCTGTCTCATCTAAACCAACCTCCTCTTTTCTGCCAACATTGTTAAAAAAAAAAAAAAAGTTCAATATCATTTTTGGAGGAACTAGTAGGTCTTTTCCAGTCCAGTTGTTCCATGTTTGCAACATCATACTGTATTCTTGTAGAAAGTTTCTTTCTCATTTTAAGATTGCCCTTTCATCACATTTATTTAACCTCAGATGATTTACTGAATCCAGATTGCAAATTGTTTAAGTTTCCTTTTTTCAAGGAAATGACTAATTTTTTTAGATATTGTATTAGTCCAGCATGTCCTGAATCTGCTAACGTTTACTGCATTTTTGTCCTGTTTTCCTTTTTAATACGATTGAATTCAGAACACTGAGCCTGGTTTTTTTTTTTCTTCTTGAAGTGTTAACTGCTGTATTTATTTTCCCCTCTCTAATCATATGATAGCACATTTCATTTTATTTTATTAAAATCCTCATCATGATTTTTTTTTTGGAGCATTCCTAGTGTTTTGGTGTAGACATTTTTTCGGTTCCTCAGCTTCAATGTATTGGCCTCCTCAAGTTAAACTTTTACCTTGGAAGGTGTTGATATATTTGCATTCCCACTACCTAACCTGTTTTTATTCCTGTATTTAGTGTCATTATTTGTATTGGAAACTATGGCATATTTTATCATCACCAGTAGCTCCACAAAATGGTTTAACTTCTGTGTTTTTTTTTAAATTAGTATAATTTATAGATTATAAGTGGTTTCACTGCTCTTTTGGCAAGGATTCTGTGGCTAGAGAAAGAGGCAGCACAAATGATCCTCTACTGCGAAGTAGAAGAAATAATGTAAGGTGTTCCTTCAGTTCCTGTGCAACAGATACTCTCCAGTAAGATGCTTGATTTACGTTTACAAAAACTGTTAAGTAGGGTGAAACATCCCATCAGTTTTGTGCCACAACTGTTCCAGCACCTGAATATAGTTGTTTTTTTTATTTTTGTATGAGTTCCTGGAATTACTAAAAATGATGAAGACATTTAACACTTGTTATTAAGGTATCTCTGTGACAGCGTACACAAATGAACTCTTAAAGGGCATTCTTGAATGTGCCTTATGCTCAGGAACTTATGACTGGCAAGAGTACAGGTGAAAATGTTCCTTATACCAGTGGGGAAGGAAAATGTTTTGTAAGATACTTCTGTAAGGTCAGGATAGTTTTCAAAGACAACAGCAATGTAAGTGGAGGATGCGTTTTGCTCAGTTCTCCACAGACAACTAAAAACTGTTGGTTATGTATATGTAGTTTGATGAGGAGTATGTAACGAAGTGCCTTCCTGAGGAACCATTCAGATTATTTCGTATTTGTAGTTATGAAAAAAGGGTGATGGAACAAGTCAGTACAAAAGTGCTATTGAGAAGTAAAGCTATCGGCAGTAGCAAAGAGCTGCATCCTCTGAAGAGATGCAGAGATCTCTGTAAATCTTCCTCCAAATCTTGCAGCTCCCTCTTCAACTTGCTTATGTTTTTTGCTAGGCTTTTACCAGAAACATAGGAAGGAGGGGATGGCGGGAATGGTCTCTTATTTTTTTTTTTTTTTCACACCTCCCGCTCTGGGGTCTTGCTCTGATGAATAATCGCAGTTTGTGTCTCTGCTGTTGCTTGTTGCTTTTTGAAGCAACAACACAGATTGTCAGAATCATGAACGGTCTCTTTGCTGCCCCCCGACCCTGGGTATCGGTTGGGAAACCACCCAGAGTGACTGGTGCTTTTTCCTGAACCTGAGGGCACACAACAGTGGTTCATTGATTTGTATTGGGTTAATGTTTGGAGAGTAGCTGTTGGCATGAAAGGAATGCTAGGGCAGGAGGTAGGTGGGTGGAATTTCGCTTCCAAAGTTTCCTTTTCCACAGCAGAGATGCTCTTCAGTGTGAAGAAATGTATGTTGTATCTGAACATACCGCATTTGTTTTGCAAATAAGTGCTTCCATTTCTCTAACTCTTTGGATTTATTTAGATGGTGAAATACATGTGCAGCAAGCATGCTCGCTGTGGGGGGGTTGGACTAGATGACCTCTAGGGGTCCCTTCCAACCCAAAACTTTCTATGATTCTATGATTCTATGAAGTTGGATGTCAATTTATATGCTATGAAAGCTCCTGGTTAACTTACCATGTGAATACCTACGTTAAATGTCTGAAGTAGGTTATCTTGGTGACATTGGTGGCTCTATCAGGAACTGTCAATCTTCTGGGAGAGACAGGTTGGAAGCCAGGTATTTAGTGCATGCTGATTAGACTGATCCCTGAGCCTTCTCTTCTTCAGCCTAAACAGCCCCAGTTCTCTCAGCTTCTCCTCATATGACAGGTGCTCCAATCCCTCAGTCATCTTTGTGGCCCTTTGCAGGACTCAGTTCAGTCTGGCATGGACTGGGGAGCCCAGAGCTGGACCCAGCACTCCAGATGTGTCCTGCTAGTGGTGAGTGGAGGGGCAGGATCACCTGCCCCAGCCTGCTGGCAACACTCCTCCTCATACAGCCTAGGGTGCCAGCAGGATGCCTTTACTGCCAGAGCACCTTGCTGGCTCATGTTCAGCTTGGTGTCCACCAGTAACACCGGGTCTCTTTCAGCAAAGCTGCTTTCCAGCTGGGCAGCCTCCAGCCAGTACTGGTGCCTGGGGTAATTCTTCCCAAGGTGCAGGGGTTTGTACTTCCCTTTGATGAACTTCATAGGTTTCCGGTTAGCCCCATTCTCCACCTTGTCAAGGTCCTTCTGAATGGCGGGACAACCACTCCTTCTATTCACAGCATAGTGAACTGTTCTCTGAATTTTTTTTTTCCTTCTGTAGACAAGCCGTTCAGTCTCTTAAGAGTCTTTTGCAGTGTGGCAAAACTTGCTTTCTTTACCTCCCAAATACCATTGCACGGATGGTGTCTGTAGCGATAAAAGTCGTAAGGCTCTTGAAATAACTCTGGCTTTGTAGTCAGGAGTCTTTCAAAACCTTAGGGGAACAACTTCTTTACAAAGTAAGCTAAAACTTAGAGGTACTTGAATGTGGTAGCAATGTCTGGACAGCAAAGATAAGTTTCAAAACATAATGTTTTCAAAACATAATGCTTATCAACATTGTGTGCTGTGACTCATGGTAGTCTTTTGAAGAGTGTTTATGATCACATAAAGGCTAATAACTAAAGCTGACTTAAGAAATTGTGCTACTGACTGAAAATACTGCCACTTGTGTCTTTTCAGACGCTCCTATTGCAAAAGCTGCTGTTGAAAAGAAACAATTTTTTTTTATAAGAAGAGAATGGGTAAGTTAATCTTGGAAGGTCTTTTTTTGATTCCTGTAATGTGAAGCCTTTTCTCTCTTCACAATGGTAGAGGAGGTGAATTGTGAGACTAAATGTTGATCTTGTCACTGTTTTTCTTGTAGCCTCAAAAGTTAATGGAACTTCCTACAAGTGTTTTTAGGAGGATTTTCTCAAACGACTGTTCATTTGCCAAAAGACTTGTCCAGAGTGCATCTGTCTAACAACAAATTTCTCTTGCTTAGTATGCACAGTGCTGGAAACGTACATGCTAAATAAACAGGGTGCCTTCAGGCTTTAATAGCACTAAACTTTTAGACAGTGGACAAGAAAATTTCATTATGTACCTTTAAAAATTTTTGTTTGTTTGTTTGTTAACTAAGATCAGCCTGTTGAATTCTGGCTAAGAGATCATAATAAAGACTGATTTCTGATAAATTACATTGTGTCTGCATATGATCTGACTAAATGTCGGAAACTGTTGTATCTGCCTCTGCAGCATGACTGGTGAATGAAACATGATTGGACAGATTCTGGTTTTAGCTACACTTTTTCTGAATGTATTTTAGCATGCTTGGCACTGGCAATACGTTATTAAAATTGGCAATAACTACATGGTAATTCAATTTTAACTTCAAATTCACAAAGCAACCTAATGGATTAGGGGAATGTTATTTGCTGTAATGCCAGGTACTCATTCTGATCTAATTAGTATAATTTCTATTCTTTGTTTTGTCAGAAACATACACAACACTAACAAACAAATGTCAAATTTGTAGTATATATCTGTTTTATCTTCTGTACTTCTGCATACAATCACAAAATACTGGCAGTATGTTACTTTTCTAGAAATGTACAGATCTCTTCCGTTATACTTTTCCAAGCTGGAAAAACTTCTAGGACTTACATTTTTAACTTTCTGACAACATTAATACTGTTCTTAAAATCAAATTTTTTGTGCAGTGTCAAATTCAAGTATTTTTTAATGGAATTCTAGCAATATTTGCTATATTAGTCCCTTAGAAAATACAGTATTTGAAAGAAGGCATTAACTTTCCAGTTTGAATTTTGTTTGAATTGTATATTTAGTGGGGTCAGATTTTTTTACGCTTATTTTTTTCAAAAATATTTTAAAATTACTGCAGTCTTTATTACTTAAGAGTTTACAGGAACATATAAAGATCAACTACAGAGACAGTCTCCTTAGTGCGATGGTGTCCTATCATGCTAAGCACTGTACAGGTACAAAGAAGGTCAGTGGTTCCTACCCCAGAGAGGGTGCTGCTGCAATAGAAAAGACAGGTGCAAGATGGGGACACTGTTAAGACTGACAGAGTGAACAAGTGCAGCGGTGGCAACAGTAATAGGGTTTCTTTCAACTTTTCAAGATAGCAATGTTAGGAGAGAATAAATGAACGAACAAAAAGGGAAGGGGCATAAGGCCTTCTAGAGAAACAAAGTAGAGAGCGGGTATATAGTGAGACAGAAAAGAGAAGGGAAACAGAAGAAGCACAGTCAAAACTGCTGTTCCCCAAAACTGGGGAGAATTTCCAGATTTCCTTGAGTTTAGTGCTTTTGCGGTTTCCCTGTTTTCCACCAAGGGTCACAAAATGGGTGTGCACTAACACTCTGTGGTTCTGGGTCTGGCTGAGCAGTGGGGGAGGATGAATCTTATTTCATGTCATTTCTTCAGTGCAGGAATACTGGCTGCTTTTATTCTTACCTGTGGTTCAAAAAGCACTTTTTTTCCATGCAGTCTGTATTTTTAAATATTAGATATGTAGTTTGGTAACTTTTTGTAAGTACTAGTTTGATAAACATGGTAATAGCCTTATGGAGGGAAGCAGTAGCATATTCAACTCACTTGAGAATGTCTAAAGGAAAATTTCTTCCCTACGCAGATTTCAGTAATCATGCCAGAATTTGGTGATGGAGAAATGAGAGAAGAGAGATGTTAACACAAAAATTCTTACTTTAAAGAGATTGCTGAGCACTTCAGAGAAATTGTCTTCAAATATGCAAAATGCTTCTGTCTTATTTCTGGTTGTATTGGGTTCTTCTGTCTGCAAACACAGTCATAGAAAAGACTGCAGCTTGCATCCTTACTGATGTGAATCAGTCATTGTGTTCTGAAACTGTTAATCTGTTTTCCGTTATAGATGGAGAAGAGAAAACATATGGTGGGTGCGAGGGCCCAGACGCTATGTATGTGAAGTTAATATCCTCTGATGGCCATGAGTTCATTGTAAAAAGAGAGCATGCATTAACATCAGGAACAATAAAAGCTATGTTGAGTGGGCCAGGTAGGTACAAAAGATTTAATACTTCATGTCCTTTGTTTTCGCTTTTCGACAGTTTGAATTTCTATTATGCAGTGAGTGAAAGTTGGAATAAATGGTAACTTTTCCAGATCTTGCCTAGTTCCTGTTTCCAGTGGAACAATCCAGCTCTGTGGGGTATTGTACGCCCAGGCATACAGTTGGACTCTCTCTGCTTTCGGACAGTTAGTGTTCCTACAGTGTCATTACTACTGGTTTCCCATGGTATGAGAACTAGAGGGTATGACATGAAACGTGTCAAGTTCAAAACAAACAAGAGTCTGTAGTTCTTTGTTGCCACCTCCATGGTGGAACTTTTAGTATTCTGTACTGGGTCTGGCTGGTATGGAGTTAATTTTCTTCACAGCACAAGAAACATATGGTTCTGTGCTCTAGATTTGTGACCAAACCAATGCTGACTGCACACCAATGTTTTAGCTGTTGCTGAACAGTGTTTGCACAGTGTCCAGGCCTTCTCTGTTTCTCACTCTTCCCCCCACGCAGTGAACAGACAGCGTGGGGTGCCAGAGGTTGGGAAGGAACACAACTAGGCAGATGACCCAAACTAACCAAAGAGATACTGCATGCCATGGAGCCTCATACTCGGAAGTAAAAAGGGAGAGGACGGGGTTAGGGAGGTTAGCCATCTTTTGCTTGTGAACTAGCTGGGCAGCAGGCTACGCATGGGAGGTGCTGAGTGATTACTTTTGCATCAGTTGTTTTGTTTTCTTTCTCTTCTTCCACTTGTCTTTCACTTACTAAACAATTTTTTATCTCAACTCACGAATTTTCTTGCTTTTACTCTTCCTTTCCCCTTCCCTTGTCCCATTGTGGGGGAAGTGAGCACGTGGTGGGTGCTTAGCTGCCTGCTGGGGTTTAGGCCACAACATGTTCGCAAGATCCTATGGCAAGGAGTTCCTGAGCTTAATGGCGAAAGTTAGTGTAAGTTGGAGAGGAGAGTAGGTAAACTTACAGAAGGGAAGGACCTCATGTGTTACTGAATATGTGAGACTACCTCTGGTTTCAGAAGTGTCTGAACTAATTCATGAAGACCAAAAGGGTGAAGGAGAGAACAGGGAAAAGTTAATACATGTGCTTTCCCTCTTCTGCACCCTCACCCCGTACATTTACCTTTGGCCGCTTGAGTGGTGGGCAGTAGGCTACGTGGAGCTCCAACCTGAATGTGGTCGTTCTTATATTCTCTTTTAGATTCTAGCGAGGGGGATTACTGGGGAGATCTATTTGCTTAATATATTTTTAAACTACTTAGTAACAGTTGGACAAACAGAGCAATTAAAATTCTCAGCTTAACGTTCTGCAAAATGTCATTCTAATAGTTGCATTTGAAAATATGTAGCAGGTCCGTTGTGTCTGATCCACTCCATGTCAGCCTCCCAGACATGTAAGAGGAAGAGTAGGTCCTTACAAGACCTGCTCTGAATTTGTTCCACAAACAATGTGAAGAAATAAAAGGTGAAGGAGCCTGCTAGGAAACTGACTTTGTAAAGTAGTCAGCATTCAAGAACATTTTATATAAAAACTAGCAAGATAAATGAGTTGACAAGGAACAGTACTCTTACTGTCTACTTCAGTAGGTCATAATTTCACTGATGTGTCAGTGTTCTCTATTTCAGTACTGTGACATTGCCAGTATGCTAAGATGTCTTCTGTTGCCTCCTACTGTTCCTGTACTAGAGTTCAAGCCGGATTGGCTTCAGTGCATGCAGATATTTCTACACAAATGCGTGTAGACATCAGTAAATAGCTCTGCCTTGTAGTTAGAAGTGGGTTCTTACAGAAGTAGTGGGAACCAAACTTTGCTAGTCTCCCATAAATATGGAGTGCATGTTAGTGTTTTTTGTATTGTCTTTCAGCTTAATGAGTTGAAAGCCCAGAGAGATGAGGAAAAGAGGGACAAAGATGACAATGGAAAGGCTGTGAGCCCAACCACAGGATGACTTTGTATCATCCAAATTTCATGCTTGTAGGCACTATAGAAAGCTAATTTCAAATATACTTGTGTTTTGAGATTTGAGTTTTGAATAAATTCTTCAATATCGAATAGGGATAAACTTGTACTGTATGTAACCTTTCCTCCAGTACAACTAAGGTTTCCCTGTCCCTCCTGCCTGCCTGTTTTCACAGCTTATCAAGTTAATGCGCCTTTGAGGTTTCAAACCTCTGTCAAATCTGCCCGAAACTGACAAGTTCAAAGCTAGTGGGATCACAGAAGGGACTACTGATAAGTGTCCATATGCAGATGTGGAACATCTATAAAACATATTTTTTTTCTTGGATAAGACAGCTAGAAATCTGGATCAGTACTTTTTAATGTTGTTACTGTGACCTTTAGAGCTGAGCACACCACAGTTTTAGAGCACCTCTCAGGTAAGCATCAGAATTAAACCTAAATTTCTGGTGTAGTTGTTCAGTATATTGTTAATAGGCTGCAGCCAAAGTAAACGTGTTGTGATGCAAGGGATCTTAATATTCTTGAGGGTTGAGAATGTGGTACATCCTGCTTTACGCTGAAGAATCTGATACCCAGGAATAAGAGACTATGCAAGTCTATTTGAAATGTGTTGTATTAGTATGGTAAAGCATTTCATTTTGCAGTGAATTGAGATTCTGATGTTTGGTTTGGTGTGTTTGTGTTTTTTGTTTGTTTTTTTTATTTTCCTACAGGACAGTTTGCAGAAAATGAAACAAATGAGGTGAATTTTAGAGAGATCCCATCCCATGTCCTATCCAAAGTATGCATGTATTTCACCTACAAGGTCCGCTATACTAACAGCTCTACGGAGATTCCTGAATTCCCAATTGCACCTGAAATTGCACTGGAACTTCTGATGGCTGCAAACTTCCTAGATTGTTAAATAAAATAAATTATAATAAAAAATGTAAACCTTTTTTCAGTATTTAATACATGTAGTTCAGTTAGTAACTTTTTTTCAGATAGCATGTTGCGTGTGTGCTATTGAGAACTGTAAAGTTCACTGCAGAGGCAATTGCCTTCAGTCCTTTTGCATATAGCAGTCATTCAGTTGAAGTTTGTTTTGCTGCTTACACAAATAAGGACCTTTTCACAAACTGAGACAAATAAACAAATATGCCAATTAGTAGATGGCTATGCCTTATCCTTTAGGTGTGGTAGAACTTTCTTTTAATACAATGACCATAGAGAATACTGGAGTTTAGTCTAATGCTCTCTAAAAGGTAATTATAGTTAAATAGGAGTCGCTGTTTAGGGTTTCTAACTTTCTCTTATTGTTAAAGTTTCTAAACATCTGAACTTAATCTCCTTTGTAAGATAGCTGTCCTTTAGCATAGTTATACTAACGAGATTAGAAGTGCCCTCCCTAAGGTTTGTATACTGACACTGATACTCCGTTTAGGTTGAAAGTGGAGTATGTAGGAGAATGCTTAAGGCTTTTAATTTAAATCATAGTATATACCCGTGTAAAGGTGTACTTGATAACATTTTCTTTTATAACCTAAAATTTCCCTGTTAGAAATTAAAAATATTCAAGTCACTTGTCTGCACAGTAAGACTGTGATCCTACTGATGGTGGCTTTTAAGGGGAAAAATAACTATTACAATCTGCGTGTATTTTCTTCTGTATAACACATAAAGTTATTCTTAATGTGCTGTCACTTGACCTGATACGGATTTTATATGGTTTCAGTTATGGTTTATTTCTGTTGTTGTGACTGGTTATCTAAAGTCTGTATTTAATCTTTAGAGTAGTAGTCATTTAAATTTTGTAATATAACAACTGAAAAGATAGCAGTTATTCTATCTTTTACCTCTTCTTCAACCTCTCCCTTGCATCCACAGAAGACGACCCTGAAATGTGGAGGTCTTTTATATTTGAAGGAAAGGGCATTAAGCAGATGTTTAAGGAGCTGTTTTATAAATTTCATAGGTATTTCCAATGTTTTTACAAATATTTTAGGGGGAAAGGATTGGCAAGCCACTGACGTACTACTAGAGTGGAACACGTGATCTCTTGGTAGTCCCTACTGGTAATTGCCTATACTATCTGTTCTTTGTTCAAAACAAGTTTCCATAAAGAAAAAAAAAAAAATCAATTTGAGACAAGAAGTTGCTTTTTGTTCAGCCACAGCCTGAAGAACCCTTCTGCCAAAACCATTTGTAAATGAGAATAAATCTAATGCATCATGAAAAATGATATAAGAACAATGCAGTTACATCAGCTGCCGCTGCTTCAGCTTTCTTTGGATCAAGAAATGGTTGTGATATTTTATGGAAAAATCCCACTGACAAATGGTGGGACCTCTTTATTGATGTAATAAATAATGGTGAATTTAGAGGGCCAAAACCCTCCTCTAAACCTGTTTGCCAGTGTAAATACAACTTTGAAGAGCTTCTTCTGGACAAAAGCTGGTAACTTACATAGACTATGCAGTCTGCCCATGGAGGAGTTCAGCTCTGACAAATGAAAATTTACTCTGGGCTGGAACAGTGCTTGATAGACAAGCTGACATTTGTCAGTGTGTTGATTAGTTGACATTTATTCACATCACATACTTTGGCACAATTTATTGTGTTTACTGTGGGGATGTTTATGACTAGATTGGTTTTGCATGATAAAGCTGAAGTGCATTGCAAGGCGATTGTCTGAAATCCTATGTTTAAGCACTCTCCTTAGTGCTATTAGTAACTCATTTTCAAGAGCACTAAAAAGATAAACCGGAGATACCCTATTATGCTGCGTTTGTTAGAGCTACTAGGAATACCCTAAAAGGTCAAGGAATACTGATGCGGATATTTTAGTCCCAACTACGCTTCAGTGTGAGCAAGTCTCAAGTCCTTTAGCCATATTTGATAGTCTTGAGGTTAATGACTCGGAGTTAAAAATTATTTAGTTTAAAATTGAAGTTAAAATGATGTAATTTTTTTAAAAGTGGTGGTTTCCCCCCCCCCCTTTTTTTTAAGCATTCCAAAACAGTCTCCTGTTAAAGTACATTGCATTTTATGATTCCGTACTTCAGCAGTAAGGTCAAATAGTTGGTTTAGTTCTGAATAATAATTTTGTTGTTTTTTTCCTTCAGCTTAATGTATCATACAGTAGCTTTGAACACTCAGGAAATGCAGTAGTGTCCTAGAGCACACTATTTGCAAAACCACCGTCTGTTAAGAAAACCTGCAGATTTCTAAGGGGGAGGGGGGCAGAGGGAACTAGTGCAATTTCCGTGACAGTGACATGGGTATGCTATTACCAGACAATTGGAAACCTATCACGCTTAACCCCCTGAGTTCTAAATAAATTTCAAAGTTGAAAATTTTTAAACCTGTGTTTCTGTTGATTTATGACTTCTCAGAGCAAGTATTCGTATGTAGAATTGTAGTTTTCACAATTATGTGTTGAGCAAAGTGCAAGTATAATTGGTATTTGGGTAGCAGGTGGTGAAACTGCATGTATAAAATAAAAGGTTTTTTTCATAGTTCTGAAGAGTTTCATAGATTTAAAGCGTTTGGACATCTCTGTGCTCTTAATTACAAGAATGCGCAATTCTCGGAAACAACCAAGTACTAAACAAGGATGGTACTCCTGAACAGCCTTGAAGAGGATATTTTGAAGACTTCAGGTGTCCTATAACGCTCCGTTTTACTTGGTCAGCTAGTCCTGTATCTGATGGTTCAAATTTTAAGCTGAAGCACTTACTTAGCCTTAAAAAATTCCCGATTCTTTACTGACTGTAAACAATGACAAAAGTCCTGCTGGGTTATGGTTTTTCATCCTTTGAGTATGTACAAGCTGCTGAAGAACTCTCTGACGGTCTCCAACGGGCAATGGCTCGTGCACCCGGAACGATCGGAACTCTGCTCCGCAAGACATGAAAGTCCTTTTTGGTTTTGAGGTTGAAGAAAGGAGGATTCACCATCAAGATTCGCCATGCCATTGTATTCGGCAGCTGCGTTGAACCCGATGTCTAAAAGGCACTTCTTAATGGTAGTAAGTGGAAAATTGCTTGCTTCTGTCTGTGCTTTATCGCCGTGTATCGTATTTCACAGGCTTAAGTTGCAGGAGTGGGTATTTGTTCTTTTCACCTTTTCTTGTTTTTACTGTCTCACTGAAAGAGGTTTCCTAACGCCTGCCTCGGTCTGTTGGTTTATGATAGTTAAAGTGGACAAAGAAACTAATGGGACAGGAAAGTTAACTTTTCAGTCGGTATTTGGGTCCCCACTTTTATTCATTTAAGTCTCAAATGTTGCAGTATAATTAAAATGAGTAAAAGTTAGTGCTGAGTCAACAAAAGCGTGTGTAGGTATTAATGAGAAATAGCAGGTTTTCCTAGCTGAAAACTAAGGGTGGAGGCTGTGTTGTAAGCTTAATTTCAACAACTGAATGAGATAAAAATAGCAGGTACTCATTATCTTTAAGTGGATCTGAAAATTAAACTATTATGCTATTTTTTGAAGATTGATAGACCAAAGATGTGCAGTTAGCAAAAAAGGCATTTGTTAATTTTTCCTGTGGAAGAAGTTCAACTTTGAAGGATTTTTTGAGAAATAATAAACTGGATTGGAGTTGGATTTGTTTTTAAATGTAGCTTATCAGGTGGCAGTTTTATGGGAAGATACCAGTGCTGTGAATTCGCTGTGTCGCACAACGATTGGGAGAGCTAGAAAAGCACGTACCAGATTTTGTGATTATTATCAGTCACCCATGAAGCTTGTTTAAGTGTCATCACTAGGGCAGCACAGAGAAAAGAACAGTGAGTTTTTATCAAGTTTTAACGAGTGTTACGTGTCGTGAAATAAAGCTTTTAGTGTGTTACATCTACAAACGTAGGTTGTGGTGCAATCTCTCTTGCTTGGGAGAAAGGTCACCAAGATTAAAAAAAAAGGAAAAAGAAGATATTTCTCTCTGTCATTGCCATGTTAACATAAACATTGTTATGTTTACAGAACACAGGATTTTCCTCCCATGCTCTGTGGGAGGAGAATCAGAGATGCAAGATCATGATTGTTCTTTGACAAACGGAGTGCTTCAACATTTTATCTTATTGGACTTACATACTCAAGCAGTTTTCAAGATGTTAATCATATAATGTTTTGTAGCCTCACTTGTTGAGGGTAGAATTGGACAAGTAAGTTAAAGTTGTCCCTGAAATACATGCTGCATTTCAGATTGCTGAAAGTAACAACTTGAGAGTTTTTAGATAAATTAAAATCTTACTGTAGAGCACTAAAGTTACCGGTTTTCAGAATAGTGTTTTAAGATGAGTTTTTTCAGAATACAGACATGGATTAGTGCTACTCCTTATTTATTTGTTGCTAATATCTTTCCTTAACCAGAAACTACTTTCAAGTTAAATACTGTTTAATGTTAATTAATGTCAATTCAAATTCAAAACTGCCATTTCAGATGAGAATCCATATCTAAGGCTTTTCTTTCCATGAAAATAATACTTCTGGTATCCTATGCGCATGTAATAGTGGAAAACCTTTGTCTTGAAAATCACCACTACACAAAACCGTAAGCAATATACTTAATTCATGTTTCTAGGTTACTATAAATTTTTGTTACTCTGTCTGGTAAAACAATGGGATACTTCTTACACAGGTTAATTCACTTCTACATAAATAGTTCTCTGTTTTGGTTGGTATCATGAAGCCTGAAAAATATCTAGGATCTAAAAGCATTTGGCACAGAGGATTTCTTTTTTTATACAGGGGAAAACTTCCTGTATTACCGTACTAAATTGAGATGCATTTTCCAGAAGCGACACTCCATTTGAGTCAAATTTTTTGTAGCTTACTACTTGAAACGTGTAAATGATATATCAATATTGCACTAATATTTAAGATGCTTTCAGATTTGTCATAGAGCACTCAAATAATGAAAAATATTTACCATGTAATAAATAACTGTGACTTAACAAGAGAACTGTATGAAAATACTTAGCTGAAATAGTCAACTGCTCATCCACTGTGTTTTCATACCATAGCTCCGTTTCATGGCAGTCGTACCCCAGATGAATTCTTGGCTTTCCTGAGGGACATTAAATAAACACAAAGCAACAGGCTAGACCAGTACAATCAGGGTGTACAGGCCTGCAAAATGAAATTCTGCAAAGGCTGTAAGTAGTG